TAATTATTATCTTTATAAAAAATTATATTATTAAACCAAAAATAAATTACTTTATTATTAAATCTAAATTAAATTATAATAAAAAATTGAATTATAGTAGTTACACCAAAAAAACGAGAACTACTAAATAGTTAATTTAATACTAATATCGATTTATTTTTTTCAAATTTTTATGCTATCTTCAAATTTATATTTCATTTAAAAATAAATAAAAACATTATCACATAAAATCGTATTATATCAATAGAGACATAATATAAACTATACATTAAAATCAAAATTTATCACGTTGCATTGTACAAGTACCATTTTAGTGTATGTGTGTGTATATATATGTATATATATATATATATATATATATAATATACACAATCAGATGTACAATTACTAAGATCGGGTGAAAAGGCATATTTTAACTTCAAGTAAAAAAGTTCGATATGTATTATATTTTATTAAAAAATTGTTAAAAATCAAGAGTTAATTTCCTGTAAAATCAATAGTTATCATGTAAATGGTAAGAAGAGATCTTTGCGCTTGATTCAATCGTAACTGAATATCAATTGAAAATGCGCTTCTAAGCTAATTCATGGTTATTTTAAGACTTAATTTGGACCACTAGATCAATCCTAATTTAAGTGATCAAGAGTCTAAATCTCTTCTTACACTTCTCATTTTAACTTTTATTCTCATACAATCATTTATTTAAAAAGTCAAACAGTTTAAAAGGTGTAAGGATACAATTACTTGCATTATTAAAAAAATTGGACAATCATTTCAATCCTGGTTTTTTCTAATTAAATTTAATATACCGATTATATCTAAAACTAAAAAATGAAAAAAAAAAAAAAAAAAAGTTAATCGGGTTGTTTTAACCCACCTTATATTTTAACTTGTTATCCAATTTGTATGTCTAATTTATCCATTTTGTCATCAGCTCAAAATATTGGGTTTGTGACGGTTCCGTCATTTGAATATCGTATGTACGGTTATGATCATTGTATTATCATTTTACTACAAATCAATATATGGGGTTAATCTAGTCGAAGTTATCTTAATTTTTTATTAGTCTTGTTTTATTTTACAAAATGGAATAAAAATGAAAATGTGTTTATAAAGAACTCAGTCTATCAGTTTTAAAATTGATGTCAGAGTTCTAGTATTCTTGCCATCAAAGTTCACTCATTTTGAACCACATATATTGTTTTTTTCTAAGTATATAATTTTTATATACGACAAATGCAACAAATAAACTCATACACCTTCCTTATTTTTAGTGAGTTTTTAAGCTTTGACCTTCTGGGAGGCCAGAGGTCGAATACTGCTAGGTTAAAAAACCATTTGGCTACAGGTATTGCTTTGTGTGAGTAATATGTATAAATTAAGATCACAGTTTCTACAGCCAAAAAGTTTTATTTGTGATAAAATAAAGTCGTTGGTATTAGATATATTAGGGGGAAAACCCGATGAATTATTCATCAGTTATGGTTATGCTTAATTGATCAATTTTAATATTTTATAATGTTTAAGTCTATATTATCAGTTTTTTAATAGATGATAAAAAAAGTTGTAACTTTTAAAGTATTACCAAACAGAAGAGTTTGATGTCGTTTCCACATGCAATGTAGACGAGCCTAGATATGAGGAAGTTCAAATTTGCACAAAAACCTTGATATATCGTCGATTCTTCCAATAGGATCTTGGGGACATTTGGAGGAGTCCTGTAACACACAATTTTCGACTCGTTATACCTTAAGTTTACACGTTTAAAGTAGATCAAAACTTAACTCACTTACCATCCAAAGGCTTTGGCTCCATTTGTCCAAATAAATATTATGAGCATGACGGTGATGGTCAAGTGACAGAGAAATGTCACAAGGTTATATTCCGCAAACTCAAACAAAAACCATATCGTCAACACCACGATAGAAGTTACACCAGATATTATTTTGTTTCTCCATAATAAAATATCTGCAACTGAAAATTTAAAAACTATGTTTCTTAGCACACTGTCATTTTCCAAATAACTGAAATAAGAGTTTCAAAAAATAACTAAAATGAGAAGGCAAATTTACTTTTTTATCCATGTTACGTTAATCCATTTTATTGACAAATCCGTCAATTCCTCTTAACGACAAACGAGCTCAAATCTCAATTCTTGTCTAAAAGATACAGTTGGTGATACAATAAAAATGATAAAATTTACATGGAAATGGCAAAAGAATAGTATAACATACTTCATGGTACGTTGGTCAAACAAATAATTTTTACTGTACGCTACATCTATCAGTTATTTTTTTTTCAAAAGAGATGAGATGACAACTGTAACCGCTCAATGTCGATTTACATAGTATGCATTTTAGTTCTGTAACACGGTTAAATAAAACATCATGCCGTATGCCAAAGTACAAATAATTTATATACGTAAAAATGTACCTTCTCCGCCTCCAAGTATTTTATGGATCGGTCTTTTGCGACCATACAATCTCGTTATCTGTGGTATGCTGTAATCGACGTTTTGGGTAAGCTTCGACATGTCGTCTATTTTAGTTGGAAAAAAGAAAAAAATGTGGTAGGTTTTTTGAGAGGGTGCTACAGAGGAGAATATAGAGAGGGTTTGGGGTTCTAAGCTTATGGGCAAAGCATAGAGAGGATGAAGAAAGGAATGCCCTTTTCAAAGGGGTTTGCTTTGGGGCTATTATAAACATATAATTAAAAACTTTTATTGGAAAAATATTCCTTTTTAAAGGGAAAAAAGGCTATTAATTTGAATAATATATTTATAACATGTTTGCCATTAAAATCTTGCATTGATTCCAATTGGAATCTTGAACTTTTTCTTGATTCACTTTCCACACAAAAACACATGCATGGTGATGCATGAGAAACTTTAATTGCAAACATTTTTCTTAATTATAAATAAAGGGTAAATGTATAAGAGTTTGACAATGCCTTATCGGTGGTTAACATTCATCATAAATAATGAACTTGATATATATATATATATATATATATATATATATATGTGTGTGTGTGTGTGTCACTACTAAAAAATCGGGTTTTTCCGACGGCAAAATCCGTCGGAAATCCGTCGGAAAAACAACTTTCCGACGGATTTTGCCGTCGGAAAAACCCCCGCCGCTAAATGTCTTTTCCGACGGAATTTCCGACGGATTTGTATTTTCCGACGGATATGTCCGTCGGAAAATTTTATAATATGTTAGTAATTGTCCGGGTTAATTAGAAGTAATCTAAAATG